TATAGACAGTCTATGGAAAAAACTACACATTATTATTTAGTGCTAATTTATTCATTCATTCAATTTACTCCATCATTAATTTCCTTCCCACCAGGATGCGTGTGCAGCTTTTCTCAAGGAGCTCAAACTAGAAGTGCAGTGTGGCCAGGAGGGTTTGACCGAAGTGACTGCAGCAGGGGCTCACGGGGAATCCTCCTCTGGCAGCATATCCAGCTTCATCCTGGTTATAGACGGCCAGACGCTGGACTGGGCGCTTCAGGAGGAGCTGAAGAGTGACTTCTTAGAGCTGAGCCGCAGGTGCAAGGCGGTCATCTGCTGCAGGTCCACTCCGCTGCAGAAGAGCCAGGTGGTTCGGCTGATCCGCGATGAGCTCGGCGTCATGACTCTGGCAGTGGGTGAGGATTAATGCTTGAACTGCTTGAGGGTTTTCCCATTTGCTTAATTTAAGTCTGATCACACAACAGCAGCGGTCGTTGTTAGACCTGGTGGTAACAAGCGACCTTAGGGTTGGGCAATATGGATAAAATCTTCTGCTATGATATAATTTAATAATAGTTATAACTGTATTTGTATAGCACTTATCTAAACAAAGTTACAAAGTGCTTCACAGGAAAAAATATAAACCTCATGGCTAGAAGAAGAATAAATTATAATAAAAAGGTATTCAATTCAGTTACATTTTTTGGGCCACGGAGCAGTTTAACCATCACATTTGAGCTCTGTGAGACTGGTTGTTGTAATGAAAATAATAACTTCAATTGTACCTTGGTGTCATCAAGTGTTTCACCCTTTTAATCACAATAACAGGCTAAAAATAAAAAGTATATAGTTTCATATCATGATATCAATGTACAGTCTATTTAGTGATATATGTATATGAAATATTGGAACATTGCAATACTTTCATCAAATTTGATGATTATACGTATCATGATATCGTCCTCTCATAAAACAAGAAGATAGTTTAAAGTTGACTTATCTCTTCTGTATGTCTATGGAGGTTTTTTTCTATCTTTATTCAAGAGCGTGGTCTTTCAGTTTGAGAGCATGGACTTTTCTGTTCAGATTGTTGCACAAAAAAAATCCAAGCGCAGAGGAGAAATCTGAGAGCCGACGACTCACGAGCGCACAGAAAGCAGCCACATCTGACTGCAAGCACACAGTTTGAGCAGCGGCAGAGAGAATTTAAGTGCAAACAGGCCATTTGAGTGCAAGGGCAGGGTTTTTATGAAAAGTAATACACAACCAGAGATAGGAAAAAAGCTCCATAGATATATGCTGACACAATTTGGGCCCAGAAGTCTCTGGTGTCCACTTCTGGTTTGACCATTTAGGTTCATAAACAGTCCATATGAAGAGGAAGAGAGGCTGAACTCATTGACTGAAAGACATAAAAAAGAAAATTTGCAATACAGTGCATACAGCTGTTAATATAGATCAGCCAAAATGTTGCCTGGACACTGTTTGTGATAAAATGTGATAAAAGAGTCTTGTAAACAGTGAATGGCAAATGGAAGATGGAGTCTTGGCTCACATATCTGTTGTCTACATCGCGAGCCCCAGAGTATTTGCTGTTGCCCCAAGAGGCTAAATAGACGATAGCCTCAATCAGTTGACAGTTTTACTTGATGAGCAGAATTCTTAATGAGTATCTCAAATGAGTTAATGAGCACACAGGGACATTTTTTGATGCATGAGATCAATCAGTGACTTTTACATTTGATGATGCTAATGCCAGCTGAGGAAAGCATCATCAAACTGCACTAACACAGAATACTGCAGCTTCACATAGCTCATAGAAATACTTCAAGTACATCAATAAACATGGAGAACAATAAAAGGTTTATTTTTGTCATCCAGGTGACGGAGCCAATGACGTAAGCATGATTCAGATGGCTGATGTGGGCATTGGGATATCAGGTCAAGAGGGAATGCAGGTAATGACCCCAGCATTCATTCTGACACAACACCAACCAAAACAACACAGGTCTTTATGAATATCAGTGAGGTAGATTGTATTATTGTATGTCATGTTCACATGCCACAGATATGAGACTGTCCCAGAGAAGGGACTTTCAATATTTGTTGTACCTACATGTCCTCTATTGTGCGTCGCTCCCCAGGCTGTGATGTCCAGTGACTTCGCCATCTCCAGGTTCAAACACCTCAGCAAGCTGCTGCTGGTTCACGGTCACTGGTGTTACTCGCGTCTTGCAAACATGATCCTCTACTTCTTCTACAAGAATGTGGTGAGAAGACGTTTTCCAGCTCTTTCAAATGTGTATTTAACAGCCTGATTAAAGTGTGTGACCGCACATTCACTTCAAATAAGAACAAACATTGAGAAACAGTTCAGATGTTTGGATGATACTAATTCCTGTCTGCCTCTCTCTCTCTGCAGATGTATGTCAATCTGCTGTTCTGGTATCAGTTCTTCTGTGGGTTCTCTGGGAGCGTCATGACCAACTCCTGGGTACTGATCCTGTTCAACCTGATCTTCACCTCCGTCCCTCCCCTCATCTATGGTATCCTGGACCAAGACATGCCTGCAGAAACTCTGAAGGGGGTTCCTGAGCTCTACCAGGCTGCACAGACCTCCAAGGTGAGACACCCAACACAAAGCAGACAGTTCGAAACCCACAATCCAAGCTGTTGTTGGCCAGTACCAACAACTTGAAATATCACCAGTCAAAGCAGCGTAACCTCAGAGCTATCTCTAGTCTTAAAGTTATTACCACCACCGACAGGGAGAACAAAAATAATAAATGAGCAACATATCCATGTTCCACCCAAGACAGAATACTCCAATCCCAGCTGAGGTAGAGCGAGAGGTGGGGTATAACTTGCACAGGGCCGATAAGAGTCTGACAACCATTCACCCTCAGTCTCACACATGCACTCGATTTAGTCTCCAGCCAAGCTGCATGCTTTTGAAGCCAAAGCACACAGAGAAAAAACCAGACAGGCACAGAAAGAAGATGCAAAACGCCACACACTGAGAGGCCCCGGCCCTCGGCCCTCTGATTCATACTGTTTTTAGTGTGACATAAAGTCTACTCCTGGGAGTCACCATGACTGGAGAAGATATGTTACACCATCACCCTGGGAAAGAAAGTTTCTCATCCTGACGGTTGAGCTGTTCTGCTTGTTCTCCCACCAACAGGTGGTTGCTCAGGTGGGATGGCTGAGATGAGAAGATCCTGAATGAATGTTGCTCATATGTTCTAAAGCACGCACATGTGCACACTGGAGGCTTCGACAGAAATGCTGGGCATTCACTTGCTTCACTTGCCCTGTGTGTGGCAGGGCAGGCATCAGCCAATCAAATGGCATTTATTTTTAGGCATTTAAGTAAAAATACTCAAGTGGAGGCTCTATCTTAGCAGTTTGTACAAACACAGTTTTTGTCAGACTGCAGAATGAGCCCAGAGAGAGGAGCCAGCTGGTGAACCAGGTATGTGTTCACTGGCTTGTGTTTATTACCCATGCATGCCGTCTTAACCTTGCACGGACAGCTAGCATGTCACATTAGCATGAAAGCCAGCAATGCCGTGTGTTCCAAACAGGAAATTGTGAGTTGTTGTTGTCATTGCTATGACGACAGTGAAGGCACCAAATGTGTCAGGCACGCCCACCATCACATGCTAAAGCAGAGTGCTCAGTTATGCTACTAAATAATGTTGATGTATTATTTAATTACTAATTAATTTATATGTATTGTTAACGACTGTTAATAAACTGGGGTGTAACATTTGAGGACTGTTACATTCGGTCACAGTAGACTACAGGTATGTGACTTTAAGTATAATATAGTGACACAGAAACTATTACAACATTGTCAATTGATCAAATATAAATGAAAAAAAAAAACAGAGAAACACTTTGGTTAAGATCCTTAAAATTATTTTGTCTAAAATGTAAAATGGTTACATGTGGGTGAGGAAAGAAAGAAAGAAACCTGGACCTCATGAGGAGAGTGTGTGACGGTACTTCAGAAAGACTAATGGATGACTCGTGTTTCTCTGCAGATTTATGTTCCCTACATGTTCTGGGTCACAGTCCTGGATGCATTTTACCAAAGCCTTGTATGCTTCTTTATACCTTACTTTGTAAGTATACTGCATCAGAACATTCACCACTGTCAAATACTTCCTTTACTTCTGTTTTGTTTCTCAAATAACCCTGGTTTAAACAATACCTCTCACATTGAAAATCCTCCCAGAAGTGAACTCTGCTCCTGTTTGTCTCAGGCACTGACGGGATCAGACGTGGGGATGCTGTCATTTGGCTCCCCGATCAACGCCTCTGCTCTCCTCATCATCCTGCTGCACCAAGTCCTCGAGAGCCACACTCTGGTCCGACACTCGGCGGCCCTAAATGCTCACTCAAATCACTGCACTCAAACTTAGGTAGTTGTTAGTTAGTGTGCGGAAAGGTGACGCGCTGTGTTGTTTTGCAGACCTGGATTCATGGTGTGGTGCTGGTGCTCAGTGGTGGCTCCTACTTTGGCTTCGTGCTGCTCTTCAGTATGGGCTGTGTGACCTGCAGCCCCCCCACTAACCCGCTGGGGGTGGAAACACTCCAGATGTCCCAGCCTCTCTTCTACATCATATGTGCAGTCACTACTATGACAGCTCTGTTACCCAGGTACACACAAATAAATACACACAACACACACATGCTTGGTCCCATTTCACTGCAGCCTACTTTAAACTTTGCATTTCAGGACTGAATATATCACAAGTGGACAGGAATAGACTAAAATGACAGTCATTAGAGCATATGCGTAACAATACACTGCATATAATGTATACGTTTATACATAGAGTGTTATCCATGACCCTTGACTCTAGTGTATCTCGTCGCTTTTGAAACCAAGCCTGAGCTTTTGACTCATCTGTGGTGTTTTATTTCTGTGCTCCCTGATACCGCGCTGTGTGTTCACCTCTGCAGGATGTTGTTTCGAGCTGTGTACAGCACCATAAACCACACCGCTGCCCTGAAATCCTCTCACGTGGACCAGGTGGAGTCAGAGCAGTACCGCAAGAGAATGCAGCAATGGAACCTGAGCCACTCCAGAGTCAACCGGCTGCAGGTGTGCGCTGACAACCCCGGCCTGGAGCCCAGCATAGCCTCGGAGGTGTCCTGACCTCTCTCCACACACACACACACACACACACACATATACACACACACACACACACACACACACACACACACACACACACACACACACATACACACACACACACACAGACAGAGAGCTGTGTCCCCCCTCGGACAGCAGACTCAGTGTGTGATCTGACCAGGGAGAGAAAGAGCTGAATTTGCAGAAAAGACTGTTGATGTTCACACGCTGGATTCGAGTGCACGTCACAGTCAGGAGACAATTCTTTGGTGCAATAAAAGGCGCTGCATACGTTCACTTTCTGCTGCACTGCTTCACTCTGCTGAAAGACTGATACTGACACGTCAGCAGACGAGGAGACTTATTAGCCTAAAAGTGATAAAAATACAAATTCTGGATGGTGCCAATGGTGGGTAAAGTGTTTGATACAATTTAAGTCAATGGTCAGTCTAAGTCAATGGTGAGTCTTGGATGACACCACACAAGCAGTATGGAGGCATGTTGTTTGTTCTGTCCTTTTGAAAAAGAGGACGCCATTGACTTCAATTGTGTTGGATTCGACGGATTCCAACGCTTTTTACCTCTGAAACTCCAGAAGTGTTTTGTGGACTCAAACACTTCCCCCACCCGTCCATCGGCGTAGTGGTGAGTAGATAATGAGTGAATTTTCATTTTTGGGTGAACTATCCCTTTAACCCCATGAGCCCAACCTCCACTGGCCTTCTCAGTTTGCGCTGCAGTTCCCGTAGTGAGCCACCAGGCGGAATGTGACAGGACGTCCGCCAGACCACAGTCAAACCTGCAACTGAATGTGGCCAAATCTTTTCTTCATGTATGACCACTGTGGATGGAGTTGCTCAGTTACCATGGAGATAGTCGATGCTGGAACAGAGACAGTGGTTACCATCAACAATATAAATTCATTTGGAGAGAGCCCATAGTGGAACCAGCATCACCACATGTGAGCCAGTCTTTCAGGTTCACACCTCATGGATCGTTTAACACTGATCTTGAGCTCACACTACCCCCGTGACAAACTCCCACACACACTGACATGTTTACAGCAGCTGGAATGTGTTTACAGTCCTTTGAGCGGAAGGAGGTTCAGAGAGGAGAAGAGGATTTTGTCTCTGCGGTGGTGACTGCTGGAGCAGATGAAGTATCGGTGAGTCATCACTAATTTGATTTTAGACCAGTGTGTTTATTTATTTTCTATCTTCTATCAACATCCTCCGTACAGAACCCCACTGGCTCATCATCTGTGTATGAAAGACATGACAGCACTTCATAGAACAAAGATGGAAGCTGAGTTCTCTTCATAATTATAATATTTTCACCCCCCGATCAAACCAAATGAAAATAAAAGTTTGGATTTCTCTCATTTATGATTCATTTGAAACTGATGTTACTGTTTGACAAGGTAGCAACAAATATCCAGAGATGAATTACTGAAGGACCCTTGATTTCCCTGACTGTTTTCAGATGCACAGTTTTTACATGAATGGATGTATTGTTGCTGTCATTTATTTTTGTTAAGTATGACTTTTATGAATTGATCATGATGAGGACATTGTGTTACACTGTCAGTACTTCTTACTGATATTGTACGTTGGGCAGAAATGACTCCAGACTTGATGTTCACTCTTACCGGCTGAACTCGTCTCACGAATCTGAGCCAACAGATTTTTGTATCCTACCTCTGTCTGTATTTCCTTTTTCTTGATGGCTGCTTATCCTATTGACATCAAACATGGCGGATTTGTTTCTGAGGACCGGAGGAAAATATATTTGGATGAGCAGTTCTCGCAGAAACTGAAAATACAGACAAAAAAATCTTTTATAAATCTTCATGCAACCAACCTGACGGATGGTGCAGTGACATCATAAGTGACATCAGTTACTTTGTGAGTTTGTAAATACGACAGGCCTGTGACCTCACAACTGTGCCATGGATCATGTCACAGGAATTTGACACCGGACACAGTGACATCATAAAGGATGCTGAAGGCTGAGTACAGGCTGAACCTACAGAACCACTCTGTGGCCTTTGGTGTTAATGAATTATTATGCACGAGGTGTGGTGAAATCAACCGCTGTTAATAGCATCTCTGTGACAATGGTTCATTGTGGATTTGGAACTGGAAACCATTATAACTACTGGTTGTGTCAGGTGCGTGAACACGTCATATGAAAGAAAACCTGAGTCAAGTCAGGAAGTTTAACATGAAGTGACCGTGCTGCCTCTGTGCCCATGAACCAGGTGATCAAATGGGGATTTTCTCTCAGCCTTAACTTGGATCCAGTACTTTGAACAAAAGCCTTGACCACAACTCAATGTGTAATGATTGTTTTTTTCTAATGTAAAACAGAAACCATCAAGAATTGTTTGTGCAGACGTGTGTTTAAGACATTGCAATAATAATACTATTATTAATGATGATGATAATAAAAGAGATTGTTGTTCAGAACTTGTGCAGTTTGTGAGGTGTATGTTGAAAGGGAACTATTGGCAGAATGTAGAATAATCCTCATGATGTTTTCACTAGTTCATTTCATCTAAATTGTATGAATTGTAGTTTTCTTTACCCCAGAAAAGTCCCTTTATATTTAAATACTCATTTACATCGAGGGAGTCCATTATACGGAGGTGGTCGTGTTTTTTACATTAGTCCAGACTGAACAAACTAAACACCTTTTGAGATTTTATGACAACTGAAGCTACCACAGGTTATTTTTCATGTTTGAAAGGAGAGGGTGAGGTGAGGGGTGTTCAGCTGCAACATGCAATTTCAACACTCGATATCACTAAATTCTGCACACTGCACCTTTAAATAATAGCAGCATTTTGCAATGTTGGGAAACTGGTCTACGAAACCAGAACTGACATCACTTTATACAATATATTTATGGACTACATTCCATATTTACTATGCTTCCAATAGATGTTTTGCTATTTAATCCAAAACATTCAAATCAACACTTTTCCCTGACCCATTCGCAGCCGAGTAAAACACCAGTCCATCTTCACATCTCGGTTCAGGTGGGTGACTTGTGCGGCAGGAATGACTACACTTACTGCTTTAGTGATTTGTCATGAGCATGAAAATGCAGCAATATTACAAATAGATGTTGGTTAAGTGTATTTCCTCTTAGGCGTGTCTTATTTGAGCTGAAAGCTTTCACTTCTGTATTGCTGCTGCAGTCGAATGGTCGTTCCTGCAGAGATGAGCTTCTACAGCGATGAAGACACGAGCGACGAACTGGGGACTTTGGGGTAAGACACTAATGATTTGATTCGAAAGCTCTACTCTGCCTTTCTCCAGATGTAAGAAAACGAAGACCTCCCGTCGACATATAGAATCATGTCACTTATCCACAAATATAGTACATGTATGAATAAATGACTTTTAGAACATATATCAAGAGAAAAGCAGAGAGCTAACCCCTGTCCTCAAGGGCAACAGACGACCATAATTATATTCCTGGCAATCTGTGTCAATTCAGTTCCTTCAACAGCGAATGTTAAACTGGTGTTAACTTTTCAATCTGATTAGGGCAGGTTAAAGATTTTGATCAGATACTGAAAACTAGAGTTGTGTGTATATACTTTGATCCTTTGAATACTTAGCTCTCAACTCTGCCTTTTTGAATGTCAGGCCCTTTCCACGCTGAAGCTCACACAGTAACTTTCCCCAAACTTTCCCCAAAACAGCCCAATCGTAAGGACTAACCTCAACCTGCAAGACAAACACATGCATGTGGAACGAGCTGTAACACTGGTTGTTGGTAAAGATCACAGCCCGACTCACAGACTGGGACCTGGAGGAACTTGACATGAGATGACAGATACACATACAGACATTTATTTGAACAAAAACATGATATCATCCATGTAACGTAGGAATCAGTGGGTCAGTAATGTAAAGCACGCATGGGTGAGGGAAGTGTGTCTGTAAGCGGAATAAAAAGCGATGCTGCCGTCGGGAGTCAGGGAGAGGTTACCTTGTTGCTTAGAGGCACACATGAAGCAAGGCTTTTAGGACTGATGCAGCTGACGTCAACTAAAGCTCAGAGGAATAAAGCACAGGGAAACCTAGTGTCCAGGTGACGGTGGAGGGAGTCGTCACAGCAACCATACCAGTTATACTGATACAGAGCTGTTTCAGTGATTCGGAAGTCTTCGCTCTGTGCCGTAAAATGTGCAGATGCGTAGAGCATGGGTTTGATTTTTTTTTTTTTCCCCGTGAGGCAGAGCAGAAAGCCAGGATTCACTGACGTAGTAAGTTTAGGAGGCGTTTTGTTTTTGAATGACACGAGGAGTGGGAGACAGGCAGCAGAGAAAAACTTGAATTAGTGATTTTACAGCTTATTGGAATTGTGTCTTACCAGGACACCTTTAGTTCTGTTTAAAACAACGGAAGGTCATGTGACCTTGCCCTTTTCAACTTCAACCACCAAAAGTTCATCTGTGAGTCTAGGTGAATGTCTGAACCAAATTTGATCAAGTTCCCTAGAGGCGTCACCGGCACTGAGGCATTAAATAGAGCGCATCAGTCATGACCTGTTTTGGTTTGTAACAATGACCCTTTTGTCCCTTCATTTCCTCTCCTGACCAGGTAGCAATGATTGTTCACTATATCCACTGGCTTCGCTCCAGACGGTTGAACCTTTCATTTTCATAGTTGGAATGATCATATGCACAATGCATTTGAGCAAATATGCCAAGATAAATTCTGAAATAAGTAAAACAAAATACATAAAAGACTTTTGAAATTCTGGGCAAGGTAGATTTGAAATGTATTTAGATATTTAGATGCTAAATATGGTGACACTCGTCTTTATGTTCGGGCTCTTGACATTTGTATGTGTGGGGTGGAGAAGTATTCCGATAATAAGATATTTCCTTTGAATCTTGTGTTTTGTTTACCATGAGATTTCTCACTCTCAGTTACTCTCAATGCAAATATTGAGCTTTCACATCCGTTCTCTGGTTTCTCATGCACCTGTCTGTCACTGTGAGGTTTGATCAAAGGCCAGTTCTTGTACATTATTTAGGCAGAGCTTTATCTGCAAACCCTGGCATTTTTTTATGGTGCTACCAGTGGGAAAACGTGGACACTCCTGTTTCTCGTCTCTGTGTTCACGGTACTGATGTTCAGCAGTGTGTGTTCTGTAGAGAGAGAGAGCAGAAAGGAACACTTATTGCAGCACAGAAAGAGAAGAACAGGGAGGCACACAGACACTATTTGACTTGGATTTCAGAGACACTGTTTTGGTTTTAAACTACTCGATCATGCGGGTGTATCATTTCATAATGGATAGAATGAGACATAAAGACGATGGTCACTCAGGTAAACCGTTCAATATTCCTCAGCTCACCACAGTTTTGAGCAACAGGTTAATTCTTCTTTTCTTTGTTGAAGGTGGTACCACCATGACTTGTCCCGCCATGCTGCAGAGGCTCTTCTCTTATCCAATGGCACTGATGGAAGTTATCTCCTGAGAAACAGTAATGAGGGACTGGACTGCTTTGCCCTGTCTGTCAGGTCAGTTTTTTCTACAACACTGTTATTCTGGCTGAACGACTTACACCATTGTCTAGTTTATCTGATGAACCTACTTTAAAGTACTTCAACAGTTTCTGAAGTGAGCTATTTGTGGTAGTATTAATCCAGGGTTGGCTACAGAACCCTTATACTACCATGTGTATATTAGAACCGAAAACTGTCCAGTACCAGAAGTCAGCAGTGGATACCTGATCAGATTCATAAACCTGTTTATTCATTCTTTGATCAGGCAGTTCAGACCAGTTGTAGGATGTTTATTATTGAGGAAAAAAATCATATATGGCTGCTTTACAGTACAAAACATTATAACAACCTTTGACTTCTCTTGTTAAATAAAAAAAAAAAGATGTTACTAGTTTTTATCTCTCATCCCTGACATTCTTAAGACGGATATTTACCAAGTGGAAATGTCTCACTGTAGCACGTTTTTCTGTGCAGCCATGTCGTTGACCCTAACAGTGCAATATGAAATGCTTGTTTTGTTTGTCAGGGCGAAGGATTCTGTCAAACATTTTCACGTGATGCGCAGAGACAACAGCTACGTGTTTGGCTTCAACGAGTTTGCAACCCTTCAAGACTTTGTCTACCACTTTGCCAATCAGCCTCTGCTGGGCAGTGACTCAGGTACGCAGATCAAATCCTCACTAACAGACTGTACCACATGTTTTCAGTGAATGTAAAACCCTTTTGGCTCCCCTTAGTTGATGCTTATTACTACAAGGCATTTGCAAACATCTTTCTTTCAGTATTTTCAGAGTAAAAGTGGACTAAAACTCACTTCTTCCAACACAACTCTGTTTTATAAATACACCTCAAGTAGAAATTGTCGGCAGTCTAAAATGTTCTTAAGTAAAAAAAATATTATTTAACCCACTGACTTTAAATAAACATGGACGACATGACTGCTCCCCAAAATGAAGACATCGCATCTCAATCACCTCCTTGTGGCTGGCTGCAGTATAGGTCGTAAACCCTGCCCCCTCTTATCACACTGATTTATGTCCAGTAGTTCCATGGTTCTGATCAGCTTGGTTTGAAATAGTTATTTGATGCCATACAAATGGGCTAAGACGTCATGATTGACTTGTGAGACTGACTTGCGCTCCAAATGATGTCAAAAGATGGCAGCATTCGTATCAGGACAATTTGTCTTCATTTATATAAGTGGAGACGCAATCATATTTCCGATGTTATTTCTAGAATTGAATCATCCATTGAAATGCTGTGTTTACACACATCCAACCATGACTGCTCTGCTGCACGGTGTTCAAAATGCAGCTGCAAACTAGGTCGCGCAAGCATGATCATATCTCCCCTGTATTAACTTCCCTTTATCCTGCCTGTGTGTTTTAGAGTATTTAAATATTGCCGTTGACTTTCATGACCTGCATTCATTTGTCAAATCTTTCTTCACTGCATCTGCACGAGATTCATTCAGCGCCTCCGGACTCATGCTGAAACACAGACACACACAAACAGTGACATCAGACACATCCGCAAACTCAGACAAAACAACATCCCTGGGTCTTATCTAACACAAATGGCGTATGTGTTAATTAGCATGTATAGTAGGGAAGTGGTCAAAGTGGAAATATACAGGATGCATTTTAATGCCAGGTGTGAACATAAGTACTTCGCGTAATTTTTTTTTTTAATTAATCGATCATAAGAAAAGCAACAGGAGAATTAAAAGATAATAGCATTGCTGTTCCTCCTCTGCTAGTCAGGCCTGTAACCTCCCCTCTACTTCTCAACCAGGAACCCTAATTGTGCTGAAGTGTCCGTACCCGTGGCGTGTGGAGGAGCCGTCCATCTACGAGTCTGTGAGGGTTCACACAGCCATACAGACGGGCCGCACAGAAAATGACCTCGTGGCGAATGCACCATCGGTAAGACGCCCCACATATTAAAAAATAACAAAATACCTCATTGACCAATCTTACCCATGAGACGAATCAAACTGAACTTCCTGTCCCCTGTTGACATTGATTATATTATTTTAAGAGGTTAAAGGTTACTTCAGAAAAAAATATTTAATTCATTTGTTAGAATCAATTACATTTATTTTGTATTAACGTACCATAGTTTTCTGACACCACCCTGAAATACACAGACATTGTTGCCAACTTATTTCCACATCCTTCTCATGAATTAACACATGGTGAAGGTGATGACTCTCATGACTTTGTTTGCCTATATGTAGTTTAATCTTCATCATTTTTTGAAGAAGTTTATCATTTTTCGGATTAAGAAGCTAAAGACATTTCAGTCAAACGGTAATCCCCTTTATCAGGTGACTGTCAGGGCACCAACCACAGCTCTGATCAGTGTTTTACGTAATGTTTTACTCTAACGACACTGCTTTTGGTAATAGCTACTATTGTTGCTACATTTACTTTTCCAGTAACACATGGAAAATCCTTTGTTGAATGAACATTTGCAGACAACAATAAAAATCATCCGTTTTTAGGGTGTTGTAACCGATCATGAACCAATCAGCATTAGCCCACACAGTCTCCGTCAGTTCGAGTAACTTGAGCTTTCCTTGCTGGAAACATGTTTTTTTTCATTTCCTCCTTGACATAGGCCAGTAAGTGGCCCTTGACTGAAGATGAGTTTGCCCCAGATCCAATTTATAATAAACCATAAATATCCTTCAAAGCTAAAACATTGCTCACTTTTAGTAGCGGCCAATTTCCTAACATGCATGTCTTTTCAGCTGGGCACGAAAGAAGGCTATCTGGTGAAGCAAGGATCATTTGTCAAGGTGAGAACAGTGGAACTGTGACGTACACCACAATGTGTCTGAGTACAAATCACTTTTTCACAGGGAATCTTTTACTTCCTGTGACTGCAGCTAACCACACTGTTACTAAAAATGATGTGAACCCATTGAATTGAACTGGTTTTCTTCATTAAATGTTCATAAAATGTGATCTGATCTTCACTCAGTGCTCTGGTCAGCTATCAACATACATCATGAGGGATTCTATCACGAGTGAACAGCTCTAATTGTAGGTGGGGAAGGACGTACTTGAGATTCAATCACTCAGTCCTCAGAGGTTAGCTGGAACGTATGTGGCCTCAAATGAATATCGTGCTGCATTTTCTTCTCAAGCATTACTACGAAGTTTCATCAATACATAAAACATTGCTCCTGTAGCCTTGTGGCTTGTCAACAAACTTCAAACGGACTGTGGGTTTTAACTATGTGCTCCATGCAGCCATGAACCATGATTTGCGAGATGTTAACTCCAATGATTCCTTTGAGATTTTAGCTCTGGGATTTAATTTGACCTCATTGAACACTTTATTTGTGTCTTTGGATTTAGCTGGTCGCTCACTTGGGAAAGCTCTGTGGAGGGTAGCCACAGAACTAAATCATTTCTATTGACAGTTTGTCAAACTGAGCACTGATGGATATCTTAATTCTTTGAGATTAATTCCTACCCTTTTCCATTTTTTATACAAATCAACAACTGTTGAGCATGAATCTTGTGAAATCACTTTTTTGTGAAGCGTGGTTCACATCAGTAGACGCTTCTTGTGAAGAACTCAAAATGTTTGAGGAGCTCTAACACACACATCTGCTTTCATTGGCTGGACTCATCTTTGTCAACTCCAGACTTCAGTTAGCTTTTGTTGGTGTCATGAGAACAATCTGATGTTATATGAACAAAACAATTATTTGTGTATTATTAGTTTAAAATGATTGTTTCGGATTGTCTCTTAGATGAAGATCTGATGACATTGTAAATAAATAGAGAAGTTTCAAAGGGTTCACTTATTCTTTCTTGCTGCTGTAACTGTAGTGGTGTACAGTGTTTGGACAGTGGGGTGACATTTAACATACAAAGTCTCCCCAAACTTTTTTTTTTGCAGAACTGGAAGCAGAGATGGTTCACACTCAACAGATATGATCTCAAGTACTTCAAAGACAAAGTGGTGAGTCAGCTTTGGTCTGCTCAGTGTAGGAGAGATAGTCACAGTTGGAGATTGCATGTATGTTGAAACTGTTGTGTGTGTGTCTGTTGCAGTCTGAGGAGCCCATTCGAACCCTGGATCTGACAGCCTGCTCTGCAGTCCAGTTTGACTATTCTCAAGACAGAATCAACTGCTTCTGGTAAGAGACGGCCAGTCATTGATCAGCGCTCAGACAGCGTTCTATCAGGGGGTTTAAAATTTAACCTCAGGCGTGTTTCATTATTTAAGTTGAGCCATTTAAAGTTACGTAACAAGAGTAGAAGCAAGGAGAGGCTAAGGCCAACACACCAAAATTTCGTTTTTTTGCGGAGTAGCACCTATGGCCAGATTGAGTTTTTTTGGGAATAGACATCATTGTAATATCATCATCATCATCGTTTGAATGAAGATAATAAAGGTGTTTAGGTTGATTAATAGTACACCAGGCTTCTCTAAGAGGTGACGCCACAACAATATGTAACAATGCAGAGTCCTGCACTGCTGAGTCAGTTACCAACCTGCAGCCACCCAACTGGTCACGGGCAATTTTCTCCAAGTCAAATCCGAACCCGTTAACACGACCCTAGACTAGACCTGTGATTAAACTGTACTGTAAAGCGCTTTGAGTGGTCATCAAGACTAGAAAGGCGCTTTATAAATACAAGCCATTTAAACACACATGCACCTGCACTGCAGCCATCAACGTGTTTCCTCCTTGATGCTCTCTTACACCACAGACAATCAATTCACAACTGGCTATTGTTGTCTTTATTTGACCATTTTCATGTACTAGGTTGTTCAGTGTTGGTAGTGACAATAGAGCTGAAGTGAAGCTGGTGTCATAGGCTTTCACAGTAAAGATACCTTATTTCAACTGATAGGCTTCATACAAGCTGATTTAGATGGTGAAAATACTGAAAATGTAAATCCTCCATAAAGGAAATTCTTTAGTTTTCACTTGTTACCTGCATATATTTTACCGTTAACCCAACTTTTCTCCTCTGCGGTACACGACCGGGTGCAGGTCTCTAATTCAGAACCCAGTTGGTGGGAAATTTAGTGACAGCCAACCCACTGATACACAATTAACCTGGGTTTTGGGGCCCCTGGAGGTCTGGAGCCCCAGGGCAGCCTCCAGCTTGGCCCATTTTGGACACATTACAATCAATTAATCAATCACATTTTATTTGTGTAGTCCATTTTCACAAATCACAATTTGTCTCATAGGGCTTAAACAAGGTGTGACATCCTCTGTCCTTAACCTGACAGGGGAAAACAAAACGTAGAAACCTCAGAGAGAGCCACATGTGAGGGATCCCTCTCCCAGGACGGACAGAAGTGCAATAGATACCACGTGTAATGGAGAACATCAGAAAAATAGAGTAAGAGTAATTCATTACAGCATTGGTTAGAATAAACAGTTTGTAGCATGATGGAAGGTAGATACATTGAGGAGTTATTGTCAGTAATGGTAGAGTATCTGAGTAGACATATTGTATATCAAGCAGTCTTGTTGAAGTCATAGTCCACGATCAGCTGCCACCTCGATCAGGACAATGCATCAATGAATCATTAAATCTCAGCAGTGCATCTATTTAACGTACATGGATAAAATGGAACATATGCGATATGATAGAGTGATAACCCAATGTGAATGGGATATGGGCACGAATACAAAAAAGTAAATATATGCAATGTGAAGAAGACACTAACAATATGTAAATGTACATATTTACACATATTTGATATTAGCAGCAGCCCTCCAGGCTGTGGCCACACTGAATGTTACTTCCTGAGCTGTACTTCCCCGTGGCAGCAAAATCTGTTGTGGTGTTTGAAAAAGGGGAAGTCTGTGCGGTGAAAAACAGAAGGAAACAGGGGGAGGGAAAGAAAAAGGCGCATGAGCTGAAAAGACGCTGAGATTACAACAACTGACCACTTTTAACCTTTTTACACAATGTCTAACATTGCTTACTGATTTAGTTTGTATTCTGTTTCCTCTCCTTCTCACTTGATGGAATGTGATCATTTGCCAGATAAACTGCTGTATCATCTCTTCTTCTCTGCTGCTGTCAGTCTCAGGATTGTATTGTGTTGAACCAGCACACAGACAGAAAGAGAGCCTCAGCACATCACCAGCATGTTCCACCCTAACAGTTGTCGCCTAGCAACAGAGCTACGGACGAAAAAGTTCTTCACATGATTAAAAAGTTTGAACTATGTATATTTTTGAACACCATCAGTGGTTCGGTTGAGTCGTTACATTTAGAAAATAAAATATTCACCATTACAACAGTTACTGAAGCGCCATGCACACGTATAACTTCTGTTCATAAAATTGTGATGTAATGTACAAGTCTCCCTTCCTTTCTCCTCTGTGTCCACAGCCTGGTGTTCCCCGAGAGGACGTTTTATCTTTGTTCAAAGTCGGCTGTGGAGGCCGACGAGTGGATCAAGATTCTGAGGTGGAAGCTGGTGAGTTTGCTCAGTAACCAAAAATCAAACTATGGATAAAGGCCAATGTTAACGGTTATTTTTCATGGGAGTTGTTGAAAACCACCATTTGAGTTTCAGTTGAGGAAGGCGGTTTGAGGGAAAGCCTCTTATTACAACATCTCAGTAATACAATCCATGAGTCGGAAGCAGGAGTTTCACTTTAAGCAATGCTAACAAATTGAATGTGGGTTATAAGTCAATACTATCCAACTTCCTTATTACTGAAAAACCCCATGTTTCCTAAACCACTGATTCTCTGCTGGTGAAAAACACAATATTGTATTGTACCACAGAGCAGTTTGAATCTTAAAGACCCCTCCCATGAAAATCAAGGCAGTTTTAGAAAATATGACAAGCATGAGTGAAATAAATAGATCTTTTAAATATGCGATGCCAGGGACAGGGTTTCACATGCCACAGAGGATCAATCCCATTCATTTAAGTGCAGCTTTTTGATGGTGAAGTGAATTGAAAGCTCAAGTATCTAACATACTGGTCTGTGGGCAACACTGTACAATTCAACTCTTCTTTTTCATCTTAAATATTTAAATGAGTTTTTCACATTTATAAAAACCTCAAGAGAAGATGACTTGATCTCATTTGCCTTGCACTGGCCTAAAACTGGAAAAAGAAATATACGTGATTGAAAGGATGAGTTTTGTTGCATTCTGACTTTTGCAGTGACACTTGCTCTTTCTTGTGCGCAGTCCCAGTTAAGAAAAGGTCGATGACTGCCGTCAGTGGGGACACAGATGATGGATAGAAGCCCCACCTTCATGGAGGATGAGCAGGATGAACAATAAGGAACACTGTTTAAGAATGTGGAGGAAACTTTAGCTTGTAAAACACTTGAGACGTGTTCCCCTGGGTGTACTGACTAGAGGCCGCTTGGACATGACTGCATTTTGCTTCAAGATATAGAGATGCTTCATTTCTGATGAGTCTCCTGTTTGTGGTCTCACTTGGCTGCTTTTTCCCTCCAGAGGATTCTTGTGACTAATGCTGTATGTTCAACGTGGCACAGTATGTTGCATAACTGTGCGGGATTATCCTTAACAAGTACAACTAACAACACATATATCTGTCTCTCAACACCTTCTCAATTCCCTGTCCTCGCCCCAACACCACTGGCTCCTGCCGAGGAAAATTTGTCGTTGTGATTAATTTAGAGTGATCATCGATATAAGCATAAGTTCTGTAGATTCCATAGAATCCTATTTTATTTAAAAAGTCAAGATGATTCAAGATTTACGCTTGAATCAAACCAAATAAAGGAATATTTGGTATGTTTAGATTCTGCCTTTTGAGAGGGTGAAATCTGATGAGTCAAGGTACGACTGAAAATGATAAAGCTAAGGGGAGACTGACTCAAACTGTGCCTGATTGGCTACAGTCAGTGGTTACCAGGGTAGAAACAGTCTGTTTTTCACTCTCTGGGATAATGGAAGAGAGTCTACAGGGCTTGTATTCACTGTGTAGGTTTCCCCCACTAACTTTCCACAGCCGACTCCAAGTGGTGAACTTGCTTTGTTTTTGCTTCTCATTTACGTGTGCTGTTTGAATAAAGTTTTTACCTGGAAAGTGGCTGCCTGCCCCTCCTTGCTTCTCATTCTCACTGCCAACCGTCCTGAAATGCAACACCCATCAACCCAACAGTGTGTGTGTTTGCCTGTGTCCAAACATGATGATGTCACACTGCACGAGAACTCAGTTAAAGGTTCAGTGGGTAGAAATTATTGACATCTAGTGGTTAAGTTGAATATTGCAGCTGAACACCCCTCACCTCACCCTTCCAAACATGATAGAACCTTTTGCTGGCTTCAGTTGTCATTAAAACTGAAAAGGTGTTTAGTTTGTCCAGTCTGGGCTACTGTTAAAAACATGGCGGCCTGCATGGAGAGGACCTGCTCTGATTTTTAAATATACGGGGCCCATTCCAGGGTAAAGAAAACAACAATTTGTAATATTTAGATGAAACACACTCATGAAAGAATCTTTTTATATTCCATTTCTGCCAATAGATCCCCACCCAAAGCTTACACACCGCACCTTTAATAGAAAATTATTTTGAAAAGAACTATTACAATGAAAAGATTCATGTCGCAGTCACCCCTCTAAAACTGCATTTAACATACTTGTACTACATGCTACACAAACATTATCGTGTTCATATTGCACAGCATGAGGACCTAATGAAATACTCGTGGCTGCATGAAAGGCATAAGATGGATAATGGTTGCAGGCAAACCCTCTGATTTAAACTATGGAGGAATTAACCCTTTCTTTAAAGAAGCTAATGCATCCTGCTCTAAAAGCTCCAAACCCTTGTACTTCCCATCTGAACAATGCCAACGCTTGAGGTGCCAACACAAAGCCATCGAACTAATAACAATATCATCTATATCACTTAAAGACACCGGTATGTTCTAATGTTTAAAACCCAAACCAGACATGTTTGCTTCAACGCTCTCAAGTTGACAGATTCTTTTTTTTTTTCTCATGAAAGCTTTTCTCAGTCAATTCTGACATAAAGATATTTTTCTCAAAGGGAATTCTGTATAGTTCCCTAAAGACTGCATTATGAGGAATATGTATTCTGACATTAAAACCTTGAGGAAAAAGGTCAGGGAAACAATTTCAGGTGCTAAAAATGAAACATTTATTCAGACTTGATTTGACATGAAGATGCAGACGAGGAGCACGTAAACTCTACAGAAAACAGCAGGAAGCAAAGTCAACAGACACAGTGTGCACAGGAAAGTTCAGGCATGGTGCAGTCAGGTCTGGAGATGTTAACACTTCAAAAGCCATCACCCTGAACTGTGAAAAAACCCTCTAAACAAGATTTTCCCCCAGGACGTGAATGCACCAGTAGAGATGGAGAGATTCAGAGCGGAGGACGTGATCCAGGCAGGTGATCTCGCTCAGGGTTGTCCTCACCGTGTGAGCTTATGTGACTTCCACCACCTGCCTCAGTTCCTCTATTAGCGGAGCCAGCTCCTTCTCCAGACTCATGATGATACCTGAGGACACACAGAGTCCACTGCTGTTAGTTTACCAGTCAACATTCTTGTCTTCAGGTTAGTCACCCTGATGAAGGCCAGAGTGTCCAAATGCATTTCTCTCCCCTTTTTAGCTTTAAGCTGCATTGCCCACTCTAATTAAGTTATTTTAATTTCTATCCACAGCAACAGTGACATGCTTTGTTTGATATCGCTCCTTTCTTGTCTTTAGTCATGATAACTCAATGTTGAGTTGCAATAACAGGACGAGTAGACTGTAGCGTACAGATGTGTACAGAGTGTGGGTATGTATTATAGTTTGTTCACCTTTAACGGGAGCTAATTTTTCTTCTAGAAGTCAGACACTGACTTTACAATGGCCCTATGCATTAACTAATGATATATTTGTCTTTATTATTGCCCCTTCAGGACAGTTTTAACCACCTCCACAATGTACATAACATACTGTGGTTATTTGTACTCCCATAACTGATAGCAAAAACAATCGCATGCTTTAAATTAAATCTCCACAAGAGGTACCTGGTACTCATAATTAAATTAATTTGACTGTTACTAATTAAGAAAGTCCCAAAATAAGATTTGCTCTAGATTTTAAAGTCCTCAACTTTATAATGTAAAGTGCCTTAGAAAAATGTATGTCATGATTGAATCGAGACGCATTTTTCAGTAAATCCACAGACACAGCATCCAGTCCGAATGTTGATTCACCTCTACAGTTGGGGTCATTGCTTTGTTTAAATAATAATCTGTCCTGGTTTTTTTCACTCAGTTTCACCCTGTGACCACAGAGATGTGATGTGACTGTGCTGTTGAGTGGGTGTGAACCTCCCACCTCATATTTTGTCACCTCTCTGTTAAATTCATTAACTCCGTCCTGATTATTACCTTGGGCTGAAAGAGGGGAAAAGACTCCTCACTGGGGGGGGGATGTGCTACAGCTGCAGAGGTAGAAACAATAGTTGTGCTCCTTCATTTGTCAGAAAGTATCAGCCACATTTATTCCAGAATTTTCTGCGTGAATAATGGACTGAAAGGGAAGCAGTTGTAGCACTGCTCACATTCACAGAACAGTGTATTCTCTTCTTCCTTGGTTCTTATCCATGTAAAACATGTAATGTTTGGTTTTAAATTGATTAATTGCAATATATGCCACGTGTAATTTGACATTTGTTTAGTGTTTCCTAACTGCACTGTTAAGTTAAGGTAACCTGTTATATTCAGTCAATTCAGCTTGTTGTGCTGAGTTACCATGCGATTGTACATTTCACTGTTTTTGCTCTGTCGTGTCAGAAAGAGGCAAAAGAGATGATTCTTAGAGCAACTTTCGATAAAAATAATGAATAATAATAAAAGGGTTAATAATAATATTTTACCAGCAGATTGAACCAATGCTGTTTAATCCTCATGGTGTCTTTGCAGTGGACCAAAGTGGACAATGTACAGTGACTTAAGAAAGAGATCTCACCTGTGTTGGCGCTGCTGCTGGCAATGAAACTGATGACCAGCGGTAATCGATTAAACTGCACAATCTGTAAAACAGAGACACAACAAACATGTCAGGTTCTGGAGAGGAAAGAAGATCAACTAGAGTTTTTTTTTTAAACATTACAGGCAAAGTTTGTCCAATAACCATCTGACACCATCTAACAGTTGACTGTCAGATGGTGTCAGTCATGGTTATCGGTCATAATAACACATTTCATGCATTTGTGAGATGGTTAAACCTGACCTGAAAGTTTCAATAATTCACCAGACAAATCTATCACAGTCTGTTAAGCTTGGAATCGTGAGTGCAGAGCGGCTGTCTGACCTGGTAGGTGTTGTAGTAGCAGATGATGCTCTTGTTCTTGGAGAGACCAAGCTTGCTTCCCTGATCCGTGGCCAGAGCGAAGGTGGACAAGAAGCCCGGCCTCAGGGCGTGGACCGGAGCGTTGTCATTGGCAACTGCAGTGACACAACAACAATGTTAACATCAACTCTCTGCCCCACACAATATAAGTCATGTAGCTGTAAATGTATCATGTAACTTATTTTATTTTTCTTCCCAGTAACGTAAACTACATACCCATGTTCTGAATTTGTATTCAATTCAACATAAGCCACTCAGTACAGCAGGATAGCAAATGAGTATCCAATTCAATTTTATTTCTATAGTGCCAAATCATGACATACATTATTTCAAGGCAGTGAAGGCACTTAACATATTGCGGTCTAGACCTTACAAAATTAGAGAAACCCATCAGATCCCACAATGAGCAGCAACACTCCCTTATTGTGTCCAGACTCGGATAAAAAGACATTAATGGACATTTGGTTAATATGTAAGGGATAAATCGTATTCATTTTAAGTTTTTATATTCAACCAAACACTTTTTCTCTTTAACTGTTTAGGCTAAAGAATTGATGACAAACATTCTATATTCTAAGAAATACACAATGAAACTAATGAGGACATTATTAGAAGATGAACTGGGAAACCAGGTATCACATGACCACTGCATTGACTGAAAACCGTGAGCGGAAACAGAGAAGTGACAAATCCAAGCACAAACCAGTTGTGTTAATGTGACAGAGGTAATCCGGAGCTACAAAAGGCAAGGAGGGTTTTTCTAGGATTCAGAAATGGTTTGTTACCTTTGATAACGGGGACACCGTCCCTGTCTGTCACCACGATAGCATGAAGACCTTCAACGCTGCAGGAGTGACAGCAGATTTCAACAGATCAGACACTGGGCACTCAGACACTCGCAGGGTGACCCGACTCTAACATTGTGTGCATTAGGTTGCACTCACCTTTGCAGCTGTTTATACAGGTACCTCTTCAAATCCTGCACAGAAAACAACACAATGGAGAAACAATGACAAAGAAGGCCAGATGCTGACAGAGACACAGGGAGTGGACGGGTTACAGTGAGGGGACGTTTCAAGATACAAGGTGTACACATCAGCTTTTCTCTCGAGGGAGAATCTGCCGGGGTGAAGCCACGGTCGTCTGATCAGCTCCTCGTGCCAGAGGGAGACAGCCACGGGGTCTGACAGGAGATCTAACAAGCTGACACGACCTCTGCCTCCAGATGAGGGTTGTATAAGCGACATGTGCGGCGTTTAGTGGCAGCATGTGATGTTGGGTTCTTTCACCGAGTGAGGGACGAGCTACCAGGAAGAAGAAGAAGAAGAAGAAGGAGGAGGACGGAGCATACTCACATCAGCCATGGTGGCCTCGGTTTGTAGTGTCAGCAGCTGTGCGGGAGAAAACAGGCTCCATTAAACATTGTAGAAACTCAGCCTGTGTGTTACAATGCGACTGAGGGGTGTTGGAAACGAGCTCAAGCGTACAGTGTTCACCGATTAGCAACTAGCCAGGTTTAGCTACTTCCTGTTTTAAGTCAACAACCCCCGCTGCTTGAGTTACCCTCCGCGTGTGGCTACGTGAATAAAGACACGACCCAGAGACGCAGGAAGCCTCACAGACCTTCTCTGGATGCTCTTTAAATGGACTTCACCACCAGCAGATACATACTCAGCCACACTCAGGCTCCAGACGGAGTCACATGACGGACTTGTTTTGTTTCCGGCTACACAGGAAGTGACGAGGAGCGTCAGCACTGACGCAAAGACAGCGCACAGAAGTCCTACAGTATATCTATATCTATATTTACATCTATATTGACATCTACATCTGTTTATATCTCTACATTTATATCTATTTCTACATCTATATATCTATATCTATATTTACATCTATATTGACATCTACATCTGTTTATATCTCTACATTTATATCTATTTCTACATCTATATATCTATATCTATATTTACATCTATATCGACATCTACATCTGTTTATATCTCTACATTTATATCCATATATCTATTTCTACAACTATATATCAACATCTATATTTACATCTCTCCCTCTCTCTCTCTCTCTATATATATATTCTACATCTATATATCTATATTAACATCTATATCTACATCTACGTCTATTTATATTTTTTACATCTATATCTATATCTACGTATAAACAGAGTCCCCTCATCGCACTCTGTCTCGCTCATGCATCCTAACTCTGCCACAGACACTCTTCTCTCTCCTCTGTCCTCCTCTCCCGATTCTCTCTGTCCTCTTACTTCACGACAGGTCTGTAAGTCCTCCCCAGCTCTGTGGTTGTCTGACTCGGTGTGTGCCGACGGAGCCACTATGCGAGCATTTGACACAGTTAACCACCAGATCCTTATCTCCTCTCTTCAGGATCTGGGTGTCTCAGGCTCTGCTCTCTCCCTGCTCTCGAATACGTCCCCTACTCACTCAGAAGGTTGCACAGGTTCAGGTCGAGGATCTTGTCATCTCAGGCCTATACTACTGCAACTCCCTCCTGGCTGGTCTACCAGCTAGTGCTATCCAACCTCTGCAGCTCATCCAGAATGCAGCAGCTCGACTGGTCTTTTACTACCTAAGTTCACTCACACTACTCCACTCCCTTCACTGGTTACCAGTGGCTGCCCACATCCGTTTCAAAACACTAGTACTTGCATATCGTGCTGTGAATGGATCGGTTCCAGCCTACATCCAGGACATGGTCAAACCTTCCACCCCAGCCTGTCCACTCATAATATTTGTGCATTTGTCTTCTTTATCGTAATTCCATCAACATATTTAATCTTGAACAATTGATGGAGGGAAATGGTTTATTCCAGATTACTTAGTGAGAATTTTTTGGTCGCTAGAAAAAAGTTCCCAGGACTGAAAGTTGTAGGTACTTTCGATTGAGAATCATTTAGAATCTGCGATTAGCTCAGACCTACAGAATTGTATTACAGGAAGTTGTTTGGTGGTGTATTAACTGCTGTGCTGTGTTTCTAATCTCTAATCTCACACATAACCCATTTATTTATAGAGACAGAGAATGGGAAGAGAAAAATAGAAAAACATTTGAATACAATGCCAAGTGAACAGCAGAAAATAGCAGCTACATTAGTGTTTAGTTCTAATGCAGTAATTTAGCAGTAATGTTCATGTGTCTACTCAGTTTTATGGTCATTTCTGATTGTAGATACTTTGATGTTTAAATTGTGGATTGTATTATGAAAATATGCTTCTTCACAAACTACTGTAATAAAACCATCATGGAATCTATAACTGAACTGTGTTTATACTATGCATCTTACTATGTTAATGTTATAATGTTAACTGTGTTAATATCAGCTAGACCATAATGTTTGTACATTATTTTGTCAATACCTGTTGTCTTAGATGAATAGGGAACCACCAAGTATAGACAGCTCTCTGGCAGAGGCACAGGGCAGTTGTCATATCCCCGAGACCACGTCCAAATATAGCCACCTATTAATAGAATATCCTCACAGACTGCACATGTTCTCTGCCATGACACCACACAACTGTGAAGTGGCTTGAAGGAAGCTGCATGCACTGTCTGGCTGTGTACTGTAGACTCAAACAGGTGAGTTTATGAGTTAACTTGTGTGTGGCCTGTAGGCTGCTATTTAGAAATACTCTGATACTTTAGGTTTTCCATTAGCCAGAGGGAAAGACTTGATCAAATCTGTTCCCGTTTTTGGAGGGTTGCATGGGGACTGGAGTCAGTCTATTACTGATATATAGACCCTAAATTGACTGTAGGTGTGAATGAGCATGAGTGGTTGCTTGTCTCTGTATATAGCCCTGAGATACCTTGGTGACCAGTCCACCTCTCTTCAGATAGGACTGACTCTGGTTGGATGGATGGATGGATGAATGGATGGATGGATGTCTTTGGACTCTGGGAAGAAGACATAGTACTGGGAGAAAGCACACAGATAAACTCCACACAGAAATACAGTGTACATATATATATATAGAAACCCAACATTAACAGGGAGAAACCTCAAGCAGAACCAGACTCGGCCATCTGCCTTGACCGGTTGGGGTGAGCAGAGAAAAATGGGGAGGAGAGGAGAGATGGGTGGAAAAGAAGAGAGAAAAGAGAGAGGAATAGTGGGGAGGGGGAAGTAGGGGAGGGGGGGCGAGAAAGACCAGGGACACTTGAGAGCCATCAGGTATCAGATCTGACTAGTTCTAATGTAAACGATTACAGTGTTAAGACTTATTGATTATTATTGAACAGTCACAAATCATATAATAATTAATTACTGAAATATTGTTGTTAACAATAATAGTAATAATTGTTCTCCTGCAGTTCCGTGTTCAGAGATTTCTGAAATGAGAGAGAAAAAGAGAGAGAGGGACTATGGGAGGAAAAAGTAATAAATTAAATAAATGAATGAGTGGGGGGGGGCAGCATAACTAAGTGATGGTTCAGGACTCACCTGATCCAGAACTAACTATAGGCTTTATCAAGACGTTTTAAGTTTAACTTTAAATGCAGAGATGGTGTCTGCCTCCCGAACCCAGAGTGGGAGCTGGTTCCACAGGAGAGGAGCCTGGTAGCTGAAGGTTCTACCTCCTGTTCTCCTCTTACAGACTCTAGAACCCAGAGTGGGAGCTGGTTCCACAGGAGAGGAGCCTGGTAGCTGAATGCTCTACCTCCTGTTCTACTCTTACAGACTTAGAACCACAAGAGAACCTGTGTTTTGTGAACAAAGTGATCTACTTGGATAATATGGTGTTATCAGCTCTTTGATATATGAAGGGGCTTGATTGTTGAGGGCTTTAAAAGTGAGGAGCAGGATCTTGAATTCTACTCTAAATTTTACCGGGAGCCAATGTAGAGAAGCTAAGACAGGAGTAATATGATTTCTCCTTCTAGTTCCTGTCAGCACTCGTGCTGCAGCATTTTGGACCAACTGGAGACTTTTCACAGACTTCCTGGGGCATCCTGATAATAAAGAGTTACAGTAATCTAGTCTAGAGGTAACAAATGCGTGGACTAGTTTATCAGCATCCTTCTGAGACAGGATGTTATAATTTTCTTAATATTGCACTGGTAGAAGAAAACTGTCCTAGAGACTTGTTTTATGTGTGGGTCAAATGAAATGTCCTGGTCGAACATAACTCCAAGGTTCCTCACAGTGGAGCTGGAAGCCAAACTAACACCATCCAAGGTGACTAACTGGTCAGACAATGTTTCTCTAAGATGTTCAGGGCCGATTACAACAACCTCAGTTTTGTCTGAATTTAGAAGTAAGCTGTTTTAAGTCACCCAGGCCTTGATGTTCTTGAGACATTCCTGAAGTTGAACTAATTGATTAGATTCATCATGCTTCATAGAAATGTACAGCTGGGTGTTGTCTGCGTAACAATGGAAGTGTATGTGGTGCTTTCTGATGATGTTGCCTAAGGGGAGCATATATAAGGTGAAGAGTATCGGTCCAAGGACAGAACCCTGTGGAACTCCATGATTAACTTGAATGTGCATGGAGGGGTCATTGTTGACGTTAACAAATTGAAATTTAACTGATAAATATGATTTGAACCAGTCTAGTGCMGTTCCTTTGATCCCTGTATGTTGTTCTAGTCTCTGTAACAGGATCTTATGATCTATGGTGTCAAATGCTGCACTAAGATCCAACAGGACGAGTACAGAGACAAGTCCATCAACTGAKGCCATAAGAAGGTCATTAGTGACTTTAATAGTGCTGTTTCTGTGCTGTGATMGRTTCTAAATCCTGACTGAAAGTTTWCCAACAAACCGTTACTATCTAAGTAATCACACAGCTGGTTAGCAACTGCTTTTTCTAGGATTTTGAAAATGAAGGGCAGGTTGAATATGGGCCTATAATTAGCTAAAACCTCTAGATCAAGACTAGGCTTTATAAGCAGAGGATTAATAACAGCTACCTTAAAAGCTTGTGGTACGTAGCTGGTTAACAAAGATTTAATATTGAAATGTCAATTAGGGGGGAAACTTCCTTAAAAAGTCCAGTTGGGACAGAATCTAATTGACAAGTTGTTGGTTTACATGATGAAACTAATCAGGTCAGTTCAGGAAGGTCAATAGAAGAAAATTGGTTCAAACATAAATCTGGTTCTATGGTTTCAGGACCAGACAATGTATCTGTGCTATTCATTTGGAGGAGGTGTAGGATTTTATCCCTGATGGCTATAATTGTATTTGTAAAGAAGCTCATGAAATCATTGCTTCTCAGAGTTAGAGGAATAGATGGGTCAGTAGAGGTGTGACTTTCTGTCAGCCTGGCTACAGAGCTGAAGAGGAACCTGGGCTTGTTCTTATTTTCTTCTATTAATAATGAATAATACGAGGTTCTGCGATTCTAAGTGCTTTCTTGTAATTTATCAAGCTATCCATCCAGGCTAGGTGAAAGTCATATTGATTGGTGGAATGCCACTTCCTCTCTAGCTTCTGTGATGTCTGTTTTAAAACACGTGTTTGAGAAATATACCATGGAGCTGATCTCCTCTGATTTACCTTCTTCTTTTTTAACGGGCTGCCAAAGGTTGTTTTTAATGAGGCTGCTGTACTATTTACAAAGTAATCAACTAATGTGGGAGTAGAGCTTTGATAACTTTCCTGCATTGTACTGACACATGGCTGAGAGGTAAGTGTAGAAGGAAGCAGTTCTTTAAATGTGTTCACAGTTTTATCAGATAAATACCGACTATAATAGAATTTCTGTCCAGTATCAGTGTAGTCAATAATTCTAAATTCAAATGTAATTAAAAAATGGTCAGACAGAAGAAGGTGTTGGGGAAATGTCATTACTTTTTTAATGTCTATGCCATATGTCAGAACAAGATCAAGACTCTGTACATGTCATCACTGGTAACATTAGGCAGGGGTCCAGAGAAAATTACGGAGTCCAACATTATCTTTGCATATGTACACACCAAATAAATATTGATATTTGTGACCTCCGACTGACGTAGTCTGAGGTCATTATTGCCGATGTGAATAACAATCTTACTGTACTTCTGCTTTCCCTTAGCCAGCAGTTTTAAATAGGACTCTATGTCGCCCGCTCTGGCTCCAGGAAAACATTTAACTGTGGTCGCTGGTGTCGCTAACTTAAAAAAAACCCCATACCCTAACAACCTAAGCAGAGAGACATGATACCAGTCAATGCCAACTTGATTGGCAAAACTGTTGTTAGCCTGTCCATCGTCCTCTCCATCCCAGCCCTAATGTTTGATACATAATGGGGACGTGTAATAGAGGAAAAGAAAAACTGCTGATGCTGAGTCAGAATTTAAAGACAAAAAAGCCAATGTTGTTCTTGTGTTAGTTGTCATCGTACAATGGCCACTGATTTCTAGTAAACAGTAAGTACCCGGACACTTATGTGATTTGATTGTTCACCTAATAGACCAATATATATAACTTTAGTAGATGAAACCAGCAATGAGCTTGAACTTTAACCAGTAACAAGTGCAATAAAAAAATAAAAATGTGCTGCTCTGTGGCACCCAGAGGCAATAACAGGTTATACATGGCAAAGAACCACCCAACCTGATAGATGCAACAATGGGTATTTTTCCCTATGTTCAGCAGGAGTGCCATGTCTCTTGTGTGTCTAAATGTTACAGTTTGGGAAAGCTCGACTTACATATGCACAACATGCTCTAATGAGAACCATGCATGAGAAGGAACAGAAAGTACCGGTTATTCAAAGGACATAACTAAGACCTAGCCTTGGATTAGATATTTTACAATAAATACACAGTCAGATGATTAAGATGATTTACTGACGCAGGCCTGTGTTTTCCTCTCTAAACAAACCGAGTCTTACTTTATTTCTGTTTTCTTTGTTCTTCTGATTAGCATGGGAGACTTCCAGCAGTTTGAGCAGGACTTCTACCAGACAGGATATTACACAGATGACCAGGGTCAACCTGTGGCCTATTATAATATCTATGATCCCACAAGCCCTGATAATTATGACGGGTAAGTATTCAGTCTTCTGAGGATACACATACGTTGTGGCTTTTGTCTATTACTGTCTCTTTTTGTCTACAGAGCTTGCCTGTGGAGTTTTTGACTACCGTTAACATTATGTCACAATGTATCTAATGAATGTGTGGGTCCCTGTGTTGTTGTTTGGCAAGTGAAGTTAACACATTGAATGACGAAAAGTAAGTGAAGTGTAAGACTGCAAGATAGTAAACTAGCTAAACTAGCTCAAATTTTTAAAAACTCAATGATTTCAATGGTGAAAGAAATGTGCGCAACAACATTAGACACACGCACACACACACACACACACACACACACAGAACGTATTCATCGTTGGTATTTAGTGGTTAAACCATTGTGGCGAGAACAATAACAACTGTCTTTGGTATGTGTTTGTGGTCGTGATGTGATGACTTGTACAAAAGGGGAGAAGAGCTCACACTCTGAGGCAGCCTGTAACTATTTCTTCTTCAAGTGTTTGCACTCAGTTGTTGTCAGGAGGTGATTTATTATTAAAATCATCCCCCTTGATAACGTGTCAGTCCTGTCTTGTGTCACCTCTCAGAGGGGAGCATTTTGAAAGGGTGATGGGCAGGGTGAGCTGGGGTGATGTTTCAGGCTCTGTCCTGACATTGGGCCTGATGGATGCCGTCAAGTGCTAGAGGCTGAGTCTCCATGATGCTTTGGGACATTTTGTTGAAGCTGCTGAGCTTTCGGCTCCTTCCTGGAGCAGCTGGCATCTCGCTGTGATTCAGGATGCTTTCCAAAGACAGTGGGGATGTGTCACGAAACATACTATAAAATATACTCATGTTATGTACAAAACTTTCTTCTATTTACACTGTACATCAACTATATCTTAGATTACTTCACTGACTGCTGACACCTTGAAACTCGGAAATATTGGCTGATTGCAACAAACAACCTTATGCTCTTGCTATCCTTATACTCTTATTAGTGAGGTTTTATGAGTCATTTTTATTCAAATCATGTTTTCAGTGGGGAACAGGCTTTCATTCCAGATGCTCTGGATCCTTCCATGGAACAACAGTACACTGGACAGTTCTACCATCCTGCCGTGTCTTCTGGTACTATTGGAGGCACAGGGACAGATTCTCTTGAAGAGGAGCCGCCCCTTCTTGAAGGTAAAAAAGAAGACTTAATTTGTTTCTTTATCGCCTATATGCTTGAAAAATACATATTTTCTTTGGGTCGTAATAACTACCCATATGGATTAGCAGAAATCTAGCTGGCAATGCTCAGTTCATTCAGAGGTCAGATGTGTTTACCCCTGAAAACAGCTGGAAAACCAACTAATCAGTGAAACCAACATTCCTCTTTTCAAACTCCAAATAAAAGCCACATGGCACTGGAACGTAACAATCACAAAGAGTTACTGGATGATCAAGAGGACCTTTTGTTGCATTGCATGCAAACAGAGTACAAAGATTGGATTTTTAAATATTTGTTTTCTGTGAATTGAGCAATCCCCCCTGCTTTCTGTTCATTGTCCAGAACTTGGCATCAGTTTTGATCACATCTGGCAGAAGACGCTGACAGTGTTGAACCCCTTCAAGCCTGCAGATGGCAGCATAATGAATGAGACTGATCTGACAGGTCCGATCCTCTTCTGCGTCACACTGGGGGTCTTTTTAATGATGGTGAGTCACGAGTCACTGTTGTGCCTACAGCTCAACCATTACCACTGTATAACATGTACAGATGTGAGATTTGATAAAAGTGTGTGTATTTCTATATTCTGGTTGATTCAGGCAGGTAAAGCTCACTTTGGTTGTATATACGGGATCAGTGCCACAGCCTGTATTGTGGTGTACATTCTGCTGAGTCTGATGAGTACTGTGGCAGTGTCTTATGGTTGTGTGGCCAGTGTCCTGGGCTACTGCCTCCTGCCCATTGTGGCCCTCTCTGCATTTGCTGTCTTCTACTCTTTGCAGTAAGTAGCTGTTTCATTTCTGTATCTATTTTTTGACATGAAAGTAAAAGTTAGACAAAATAATTTCCCTAACTAGCGTCTCCAACCACATCAAATGATCTTCATATTAGAACTAATGCATCAATTGTCATCTGCATCAATGAAGTCATCATCAGTATCATCCAATAAAATAAGCCCAAAGCCACCAATCATCTCAAACACCATCCTTTTCATCAGACTTTAGATTCTATGTGGCCGATGTGGCCCCCAGCATTACCACCTACACCAGCATCTTCATTAACCAGCATACAAGTGATATTCTCCACCTCCTCCTTTATGTTCTGAAGTAAAATGGTCAGTTTTAGTTTGAACTGATAAAAGAAAACAGACAATTAACATTTAAGAATCCAAGCAGAGCTCAGAACAGATTGACTTCCAACCACTTCTCATGCTTCTAATCCCTCTTTCTGTTTTCACAGAGGAATGCTGGGTACACTTCTGGCCTTGTTAGTGATTTGTTGGTCTAGTTTCTCTGCCTCCAAGATCTTCATCTCCACCCTCGCTATGGAAGGCCAGCAGATGCTGGTTGCCTACCCATGTGCTCTACTCTACGGACTCTTTATACTGCTCGCTGTATTTTAACTGGCACTAGATGCAACGCAGAGTATTATCATGATGCTTATAATTATTATTATTTGTTTGTTGAGATGTTGCAGAGGGATTTACCAAACATTTTATGGATGACTGCATGTTACAGAGCTTCAGCTCCACACTGATCTCCGTGTTCTTATAAATGAAATCTTTGTTTAGCCTTTATCTCAATGTCCTATAAACTTTGATTTGTTGTCTTTTCTATGTCGATGTTTGTTTTATTGATTCATGATGTTTTAACGTAGTGACTGTATGTTCTCCACACTTTTTTTCTGCTCATATTGAAAATGTGCCACTATTTTGCTCATATACCTGAACAGTCCAACAACTCACGAGGAGAAATAAAATCTGTCCTTACGAGTAGGCTATGTCGGTAAGTGACTACCGTGTTATGTGCAGAGGTCAGTCTGATATTCAGTGTTCATTGTACACAGAGCCAGGTTGTTAATCATGCATTTGGACTGTATTTTTTATATAGTGCTTTTGCAGTCTTGTTGACATCTCAAAGAGATTTACAGTACAAGTCACAATCCTCCATTCACACACAGTCATACAGTGCTCCTGTGTGCAGCACCTTTTCCATACAAACCCTTTCCATTACACACACTGTTGGTGAAGTTATCAGGGGCATCTTGCCCAAGGACACTTTAGAATGCAGACCGGAAGAGCTGGGGATTGAACCACCGACCTTCTGGTTAGTCAATACTGCCGACACATACAGGTAGCTGTGGATGGGAGTATACTGTGTGGTACCTTTTTTTCCTTCTGTTTCATAAATATGGTTTACAATAGTATCCTACAGAAGCAGTTTCCTCTTAAGACATTAGAGGGAGCCACAACATCACAGCTTGGAATGTAAAACTGTTCTCACTGGCTGAGTGATTACAAATGTCCAACGTCTCACCATGATACAAACTGAGGGAATGTCTGTATGTTGGTTACATGGCTCCAATTGTCATGCACTTTCCCTGTCTTGTCATTCTGCTTGTTGCAGAAACATCACTAGAAAACAATGCTCGAAGCTGTCAAGGCTCTGAGAGGAGAACCGACCACGTGAGTGTGAGCGAGCAGTACGTTGACACAGAGCTGTGGAGCACTGAGCGAAATGAAAAAAAAGAGCAACTTTTTTCACCCAGCTTCCATGATGTATGAGGGTCCGAGCAGACTCTGACAACCGCAGGGTCAATGATATTCTGCAGACAACCTGTTTTTGAGTGGGGAGGGTGAGCGGGGTAGGGGTGTGGGGTGCAGGGTGTCAACAAAGTGTGCTGTGATATTAACAACAGCTAACTTCTAAGGGTGCTGGTGCAATCAGTAGGGTGGATCCAGTCCCTAAGGTGCTGCGCGAGCAGACAGGGTCGACTTCTGAGGGAACGACCACTAAGGCCACCTTCTCTCTGTGCTGTGAGTGTGAGAAAAACCACCACAGCACTAACTGCACTGAACAGTACGTTTTTTTTCCCAAGACTCCAAACACTCACTCTCTGCTGTTCAGTGTGGTGGCCACAGACCCATCCATCACACAGGGTGGAACTGTGGTCAAACAAAGGTGAAGAGCGAAACGATGTGTGTTGTAAACATTCATCACAGCTTACAGATCAACTTCCTGCTCCAACAGACCACACATTTGAAAACAGAGCCGAGATGAATTGCTGGACTACTTCAGGTTGGGTGTCAGTCATAAATGAAATCTACATTGTTAAAGAAACACACAACATTCAGCAGACGCAAAGAAACAAAAAGTCACGGAATAATCATTGCAGCCTAGCAGAGTGCTGTTTTTCCAGTGACACCACGGACCACGCTCTAATGGGCGGAGGAAGCGCTACAAGGACAGCGTGTTCAGGAAGTGTAAAATCAGACCCAAGGACCTGGAGGATTCTGCAGCTGACTGTGACACCTGCAGCTGTGCCTGGGAGTGACCTCCATGCTGGAGGAGGAACACACAAACCCACGGCTGCCACGCAAACCCACCACCAACATATTTACAATACACAAATAAAAGACAGAAGAAGGATTAATCATTGGATTCAGTGGACAGACATAAACAAAGTGCAGCACACCCTTTCATGGGCTAACTCTTTTAAGGCCTCGTAACACAGGAACTGCTGATTCTCTCCACAGTGTGGACAAACAGAGAAAAGAAACAACCACAGCCTGCTTACAGTTATGTGCTAGATTTAAGTCAAAGTTTGTGTTAATTTATGAAATGAAAGGTAAATATACTCAGTTAAAATGCATTGTTTTCACTTTTATTGTTTCTTGAATTAATACAAATGAATGGGAAAAAAAGTAAGTAGTAATTGTGCCGACAAAGTATGGCAAGGTATAAAAATTGCTGACAATGTTCAACAAAAAGAACAAATCTGGGAGAATGAGAAAACTTTCAGATAAAACTGTGCATCTGCTCTGATTTATCTCACTCTGTTCAAGTGTGAAGCATTACTTGGACAAACAGGGTGGACAAGACATCAGACGAAAACCTTACCTGTCTCCTCATCACATAAAGTGTGCTGAGCAACATCTGAATAAGCCAAGTTACTTGGCGTGAACAGAGGAAGGTAAAACATAGCTCTTGGACCACACTCACCAAAAGAAAAAAAAAAATTACAAGAACACGGCAACTGTCATCATAAGACTGATAATATTCTACTTTGGGGGGGATGTAGCAGTCGGGACAGATGATGCAGATTCTGCTAAAAATCTGAAGAGAGACCGGCAAGACAATGATGAATATCAGGACAATGATCCAAAGAATACGCCATAAAAATGAATGATTTTAAGAACCAGAAGCTGAAGCGTGCCCTGACTTGAACATCACTGAAGGTCGCAGGGCAGCCTAAAGATCAAAACGAAGTAAAGAAGAACATCGAAAGGTGTAACTTCCTCAGAACTGACTTGCACACACATGCTACAAATGCTGCCACAAATCCCTTTTTGCATATTTCACATTAGTTACTGGAAAGTAGTGAGTGTGCAGCCCCTTGCAGAGAGAAACTCTGTGAAGGAACATGTGTGTGTGTTTGACAGAAAGAGGAGGGAAAGGGACGGACAGTCCCACGGTGAGACTGTGAAGAGCAGGCCCAGTCTTTCTTCTCCTGACTGGACTGGTTTAAAGCAAACAAATCCCTCTGGCCAAGCAGTAGGCCGAAGACAAGCGCTCCCTGGGCCCCGCGGAACTCTCCTGCTACTTTACACTAAACTCTTCCAGATGATTTATGGGCTCTCTCTCCTCGCAGAGACTCGCCGCTGCTCACCTTTCATTCACCAGAGCGCAGGCTGACGGGGGCTCTCCGCTCAGTGCACTGGGACTCGTCATTAACCCAGTACGCACCGCATGACAACCACCACAATCTGCTGCACGTTCGACCTGCTCGTTCTGCTTTAAGCCGTTTCTTCCCCTGCAGCAGTTTGACGAATTCTTCATGCTAATTTCCCAGGGAGGCAGCATGGATCAGTTGAATTCCTGTTTCTGCATCCTGCTTGTCTTAATGCTGGGATGAACTCAAAGGGTTTATGAAGGGTAACATCTGTGTATGGGGCAAACACACTGCTCTGCTGTGGGGATGATGATATGAACTTTCAGGGCTGCAATTGTCCTGAATGACACTGAGGTCTCGTCCTCAAAATCCACATATGCTGTTTTTAATATTTGAGTTATCCACCTCATTTATATCAATTAGGGAAGCATTAACACCTCGCTTCATAATGTCTTTATTGTAAAAGGGTAACCTGTCAACGGATCATCACCCATGTATTTGTATAAGTTTTGCTACAGCCCCGAATAACGCCACGGTCTGTTTTGGTTGTTTTTATAATACAGGTTCAAAATGTCAGCTACATCATAAATAGAAACATAAGGTTATATCACACATAATGTGATCACACTACTCCGTGGTGGGAGTATAGATCCTCAAAGTCCATCAGAGGTACATTCTGAAGTGAGGAGGTGTTTGGAGTCCTGATCATCAGAGAGACAGTTGTTTGAAATGGGATGAAACCTGTTTCTGTCTTGCTATCTGAATCAACTGCTAGGACTCTCATTTCAAAAGATGCTGGCTGGACATTAACCTGGCCATTTTCACAATGAATGCAATCTGTGTATGTTGTGTTATCATTAAACATGCATTCATGTAAAAGCAGGATTTTATTGTTGTATCTTAACATGTTTTGTATGAAAAAATCTAAATTTGTAAAGTTACTATAGCTAAATAGAAAATGATGGTAGAGCAGAAGTGCAATATTTGCCTGTGAGATCTCGTGGAGTAGATGTATAAAGTAACATGAAATTGCAACACTGATGTAAAGTAAACTAAAATATGAATACAGTAACTGAGTAAATGTACTTAGTTACTTTCCACACAACAGTAAAAAGTAACAACAACAATAATACAAATAAAATGATTTATTTATAAGAATATATGATTTGATTTCAGTTGTTCTAGTCTATATATAGTCTTGTACATGGGTGACTGAAGCTTATCTACCTTTTTATATAAAGGTGTTAGAGACCTGCCCAAAAATGATAGTTTACCCACCTCCTTCTTCTTCTGCTCTCAGTCATACTTCTTCTAACCTGTAGGTCCCCACGACCCAACCTCCTTCACTCTGTAACACAATACATGGTTGTTGTTATACTTTGTTATACTACGATAATTGTTTCCTGCACTCGTGTATGAAGCTAATAGCATTCCTGCGCTATTACTGATTTTTATGTATTTATTTTGCCATTTTTATAAGTTTTATAGTTTTTATTGTCTGACTGGAGTCATTTGGTGTTTTTCCCACCAGTGTGTTGACCTGCGCTTTCTGTTTTGTTTAATGGTAAATGGGCTGCATTTAAGTGTCGTGCTTTTCTCGTCTTTACGACCACTCAAAGCGCTTTACACTACGCCTAGTGCAGAGCTTACCAAACTAAATTCCTAACAGCTCCACTGAAATGGCAATAAAGCCTGAATCCTCTGTCCAAATTGCACCTGAGCTTTAAGACCACATGTAAAGCCATAATAAAGACAAGCTGCTACAGACAGAAATATCATCCAGCTGCCAGCAGCCCGTCACTCACTTTCACCGCCACTCCGGTGATGATTACCAGAGCTAAGCTTTAGTCAGTGCAACGCAGCTTTTCCCAGTATGTTAATATTTCTGCATCACACTTCATATTTTACTGACGTCTCAGGCTTACTCTCCGCAGGATTTTGACAATTGTACAACTGTATAACTGATTGTTTTAATAATCATCTCCAATGATTCATTCTCCCTACCACTAGATGTGATTAGG